GGGGGGGGGGGCAATTGTCTATTTTAAAAATGGAAAACCTTCTCGAGGACCCTAAATGTATCTTTTTTAATGTAAAACCTTCTCGGGGGCTCTAAATGTATTTTTTTTAAGAATTTGAAACTTTCTCGGGGGGTCCCAATTGTCTATTTTAAAAATTTAAAACCTTCTCGAGAGCACCAAATGTCTTTTTCTTTATGTGAAACCTTCTCGGGGGTCCCATCTGTTTTTTTTTAATGTAAAACCTTCTCGGGGGTCCCAAATGTATCTTTTCGAAATGTAAAACCTTCTCGGGGGCCCTAAATGTATTTTTTTAAAGAATTTGAAATCTTCTCGGGGGGGGGGGGCAATTGCCTATTTTGAAAATGTAAAACCTTCTCGAGGGTCCCATCTGTTTTTTTTTAAATGTACAACCTTCTTGGGTGTCCCAAAGTATTTTTTTAACAATGTGAAACCTTCTCCGGGATCCCAATTGTCTATTTCAAAAATGTAAAACCTTCTCGGAAGTCACAAATGTGTCTTTTTTTATGTGAAACCTTCTCGGGGGCCCATCTGTTTTTTTAATGTAAAACCTTCTCAGGGGTCCCAACTGTCTGTTTTAAAAATGTAAAACCTTCTCGGGGGCACCAAACGTAATTTTTTTTAAATGTAAAACCTTCTCGGGGGTCCCAATTGTCTTTTTTAAAAATGTAAAACCTTCCCGGGAGCCCCAAACGTACTTTTTAAGAATGTGGAAACTTCTCCTGGGCCCCAAAATTGTCTTTTTTTAAAATCTAAAACCTTCTCGGGGGCCCTAAATGTAATTTTTTTAATGTGAAACCTTCTCGGGGGCACCAAACGTAATTTTTTGAGGATGTAAAACCTTCTCGGGGGTCCCAACTGTCGGTTTTAAAAATGTAAAACCTTCTCAGGGGCCCCAAATGAATTTTGTAAGAATGTGAAACCTTCTCGGGGATCCCAATTGTCTTCTTTAAAAATATAAAACCTTCTCGGGGGCCCAAATGTATTTTTTTAACGTGAAACATTCTCGAGGATCCCAAATGTCTTTTTTAAAAATACAAAACCTTCCTGGGGGCCCAAAACGTATTTTTTAAGAATGTGAAATTTTCTCGGGGTTCCCAATTGTCTTTTTTAAAAATGGAAAACCTTCTCGGGGGCTCCAAACGTATTTTCCTAATGTGAAACCTTCTCGTGACCCCGAATTGTCCTTTTTAAAAATATAAAACCTTCTCGGGGGCCCCAAACGTATTTTTTAAAAATGTGAAACCTTCTCGGGGGCCAAATTGTCTTGTTTAAAAATGTAAAACCTTCTCGGGGGCCCCAAACGTATTTTTTTTTAACATGAAACCTTCTCGGGGACCCCAACTGCCTTTTCCAAAAATGTAAAACCTTCTCGGGGGCCCCAAACGAATTTTTTAAAAATGTGAAACCTTCTCGGGGGCACCAAATGTATTTTTTTTATGTACGACCTTCTCGGGGGCCCAACTGTCTTTTTGAAAACGTAGAACCTTCTCGAAGGGCCCAATTGTCTTTTTTTAAAATATAAAACCTTGTCGGGGGCGCCAAATGTTTTTTTTTTAGGTATGTGAAACCTTCTCAGGGGCCCCAACTGTCTTTTTTTAAGAATATGAAACCTTCTCGTGGTCCCAATTGTTTTTTTTTTGAAAATGTGAAACCTTCTGGGTTGTCCCAACTGTGTTTTCTTTAATGTAAAACCTTCTCGGGGTCCCAACTGTAGGTTTTAAAAATGTAAAACCTTCTCGAGGGGCCTAAATGTTTTTTTTTTAATGTGAAACCTTGTCGGGGGTCCCAACCGTCTGTTTTAAAAATATAAAACCTTCTCGGGGGCCCCAAACGTATTTTTTAAAAATGTGAAATCTTCTCGGGGGCCCAACTGTCTTTTTTTAAAAATGTAAAACCTTCTCGGGGCCCCAAATATATTTTTTTTAATGTGAAACTTTCTCGGGGACCCCAACTGCCTTTTCCAAAAATGTAAAATCTTCTCGGGGACCCCAAACGAATTTTTTAAGAATGTGAAACCTTCTCGGGGTCCTAATTGTCTTTTTTTTTCAATGTAAAATCTTCTCAGAGGCGCCAAATGTCTTTTTTTTAGGAATGTGAAACCTTCTGGGTTGTCCCAACTTGTGCGTCTTTTTTCAATGGAAAACCTTCTCGGGCCCCAAGTGTCTTTTTTGTAGAAAATTATATCTTCTTGGGGTTTTCAACTGTATTTTTTTAAGAAGGTGAAACCTGTACCTATACACTGTGACTAGTACCTTCTATATTGTTTTTACTCCATAAAGGTTAACACGAAAAAGTAAAATTCCGCAAAATTTTAGCATTTTTATAAGAAGCAATATTTGTTGGACTGTATTTTAGAAGCGAGGGAAGTTCTGCCGAAATAACTTTCGACCAATTTTTTTTTTATAATTTCACTTCAATGTAAATACACTCATCAGAAATGTCAAATTTTATTCATTTCTAACCGGATAAATTTTTATTTTACAAACTCAATCAGTTTGACTCAAAAAACTACCAAAATCTCAGGCAAATAGATTACGGTCGATAATTGTTTGGAACTATGTCGTCAATTTTCTACAGAAGTTGTCTAAGTAAAATTTAGTTAATGTTCTATAATAGTTATAATCAGTAGATCAACTATAATAATAAAAGTAAATGTGAATTACATAACAAAGAATGCCGTTTACCCACAGAAACCTGCAGTTTTGATACAAATACGACGAATTAGATTTTATCTCATGTCGTTTCTTAACCCAGTTTTAAACTTTATGTAATTATGAGACGAAAGTTAAACAACTTAAAGAAGAAAGCTACGAAAAAATTATCATCAGTCTTGATTTTAATAGAAGCTTGTGATCTGGGAAAAACGGTTGAAATTTGAGGTCAAAATCTCAGTAAACCAAAACTCGAAGTAAATCACCGGACTCCGACTCGACCCGAACTGACCCGACCCGATCTGACCTGACCTGAACTAACTTAACCTAACCTAACCTAACCTCCTTAGCCTGCTCGCCCCTACTATATTCTTACTACTATGTTTATCTTACTGTTTAAGGAAAAAACTAAACAAGAAAAACGTCAAAATCTTGAGAACTTCAAACAAAAATATAATAAAGATACAGAAAGCCGTTAATTCTAACGAAATAAAAAATCTCGAAGCAGTTAGTTTATGCTATTTCCTGTCACAAGTAAATCGTTCCAGCCGAAAACCCATGCAAACCTGTAACTTGCGTTAAAAATTAGATTTTCCGAGCATATCGTATCTCTGCCAAGTTGGCGTTTCCTATCGGGAAATGCTCGCTTACCGTTCCCGTGACGTCAGAATCCGTAATATTTCCGTATCGATTATTTAATGTTCGTTAAAAGTTGTCGAAAGTATTTACTCATCCAAGATTTACAACAAGCCGAAAACACGGATACTTTTCCAATTATCGTCCCGTTTTTTCGCTCGCCCTTCAAATACTTTTCTGTTACTCCGCAAAAAGAGATACAAGCAAATAGACGAGGCGAAAGTTGATGATTTGTTGCCGACAACTTGTTATGGAAGAGTTTAAAAGTTCCGTCGCTTCGAGGACAGTCTCAGGGGCCTCCGCTCCCCCGTTCCTGATAAACTTCCACAATGTGTTCTTGAGCCGCTGGGATTAGTCAACACTGTGCCGGCGTAATTATGAAGGCGGTTGACTTTTTTCGATTAATTGCTCTAATTGAAAGCAAACAAAGCTGAGAAGGTGCTCCGGCTTCCAGCCAAAAATTAATATCGGGAGGCGCGAAATCCTAATAAAACTTTTAATTAAGATTCTTCCACTTGTTATTATCTCCAGCACGTTTCCAAACTTCTGGTTTGCGTAACGAAATCTTTATTTAATGTAAATCTGGAACGAGTCCTCAGGCGTGGACGCTCTCAAACTTTATAATCTATTGCGATTAATCAGGTTATGCTAAAGAGAGGACGCTGCGAAATTAAAATAGTGCTAGGAGTGCAGACATTCCACCCTTATTAATATTTCTCTCAAGAAAAAGGCAAAAATAAAGATGGATAACGTCGCGAGGGTTGGAACAACAAACTCACCGACTGGGGAACACAAAGTTTGTTTATTTGCTGCCTCGGGGGTGCAGTGATATTATTTTTAAAACAAACATCGGCGCAAGATTTGGCCGGTTTTAAAAGGTTAGCAGGGGCTGCTAGAAATTCCATTTGCTTGATAGCTTTCAATAAGCGATTGCTTTCCGCAGAACTGCTTTAATGAACATGAGAGATTGATTCGACCACTAGTCAAAACGAAAGAATTTCACCAAGTGCGGTATCAAATTTAAAACCCGGTCAGCACGTCTTCATTTCATCTCCGATAGCTTTCAATAAACTTTTTTAATGAACGCAATAGAATGAAATAGGAACTGCCGAACTCGTTGAATGAGTTCATTACAATTATACACGGCCGTTCTGGCCGATTTAATTAACAACTCCCGGAAAGTTCCGGTATTGAAAATTATCAATATAGCAGGGTCACTATCGCGTAGGAAAGTCCTAATAACTCATTAACGGTCGATGGCCAATTCACGTCCTCTTCTCTTCTAATTCCATTATTTATTCGGCACCATACTCGTGACGCGACCATGTGTTATCATTACGGTTTTAATAACATTCCAATGCGGATCAGGTGCCCAAAAATGATTTATGGGTTTCACAACGGAACTTACGTTGTTATAGAAAATCCATTTCTAGGACGTGTAGGTCGTTCCCTATTTATAGGACGCTTATTTGTCGTCCGTACGCAGCGAATATTAACGAAGTGCAGACCCAGCTTTGTTACGTGTAAACGCATGGTAATTTACGACAATTTTGACGATCTCCACCTTCCTAAATCCCGTTATTTTCGTTCGTTATTGCGTTAACTTGCCGCTTCAGTTCCCCTTTGTCTTCCAATCATATCGTTTTTCTCTAAATTAGTTTAGCACGTCTCTGACGCAATCTTTTTTTTTAGGTCAGGAGTACATCATCACCGGCCCGGCGGACACCCAATACATACCCAACTACCAGCAGAATCAGAACGATTTCAACCCCTTCCGACCCTCTTCGACGTTCCAACAGATCGATTCTTACCTCCCGCAGAAGGATCTTCAAACTTCGGATTTACCCTATCACCTTCAACAAACTCTTCCTCAGTACCGAATTACTACGAAATCGCCGCCGCACTTCACGTTTCATCCACAGTTCTTTCGCAGTTCGCAGCCTGCTCCTTTTAGACCACAAGACGCTGTAACGCCATCCACCCATCGTCCGAATTATTCCCACCTGTTTTCACACTCCCATAACAGAAATCCGTCGCAGACTGAGACTTTCCTAGGGGAGATCACGCTCCAGAGCCCAGCAGAACTACCTCCGCGGTACGACGAATTTAAACCGTCTTCGTTCAATCCGACAAGTCAGTCGCAGGAGAGCGTCAACCAAAACCTAGACGTTACAGAAAAATCCAACACCGTACAAATCGGAGGAAGACCAAGAGCTAGTTTCTTGAACCATCGAACTAGAATTTTTGCTCCGGATTCTACCAAGAAAGCGACTCATGTCAAGGATTACTTCGTTAATAACAACGGCGATGTGTTTATTACCACCAAGACTCCGTTCGTGCCAAAACCCACAACTTCGACGAACCCTACAACCCCAGCAGAAAGGAAAAACCGGTTCAGTCCGAGCACGAAACCCACAAATAAACCGCTTGCTTTTAACTTGAAACCCAACAAGAAACCTTTCGTACCGAAAAGTACCACCACGTCGAAAAACGGGTTAGATTTGGAACCGCTGTTGGAAGAACCCATTAAGAACCCTAGTGCTAATTCTCACAACGACGATTTAGTGGAAGTTGTCAAGTCGAAACCTACGGAAGCTCCGACGCACAACCATGACGAAGTGACTGTGGACTACGACTACGATACAACTCTAGATCCGGATTATATTCAATCCGGGGAGCAACACGAAATCGTTTCAAACAATTCGAAGGAAACAGAAAAAGAAGATTCCACAGAAACGCAGCTGCGTGTTCAAGATCCAGTACAAGAGTCGATCGAAGAAGTAGATAGTCCGGAACTACCGAAACAACAAAACTCGGAAGAACATCCCGAGAAAGAAGAGCTGGGTGTGGGTAACTCACAAGAACTGCATCCCGAAGTGGAAGATCAGCACGATGAAGACGAACTTGCCCAGTCCGAAGAAAACAAAGCCGTGGAGTTTGATTCGCAGGAAAAACATCCCGAAGAACAATTTGATGATTCTAAAGAGGTAGATCACAGCGAGTCGCACGAAGAAAGTGAAGACTACGTCGGGTCTGAAGAGCACGAAGGAACGTCTGAGGAAGAAGCACCGAAAACTTCTGAAGAAAACAACGATATACGTGATGAGGACTACGCTGCTAGTAACGAAGACGAAACCAAGGTATCGAATAAGACATATGAAATTGTGACAACCAAACCATCGACTATGGTTAAAGACGACAATTTTCAACAATTCGTTGATACTACGATCATTGACAATATTACAGAGGAGCCTGTAACTACAATTCGCGCAGAAGCGTCTTCGCTTGTAGTAGAAAACAACAAAACTGACGATATTATGGATGCTCCGGAGGTCGTGGTGTCCGTAGTTACAACGAAAAGCGTTGTCAATAATACTATTATACCTTCTGTTACACCTCTGCCTACTGTAGCTACGGGAATCGACGGTGAAAATAGTACAGATACGTGGGTAGTAGTGGCTTCAGTACAAACTAGTCGTAGTGTATCAGGGGCGCGTTATTTACCATCACCGAACGTTGAACAAGATCAAAGACTGAAGCTTCTAAACGAAGAAGAGGAAGATGTTGAAACGACAACTGAAGAAATAGCGACGACGACCTTACCACCGACTACTACGAAAACGAAAACGTCTACTGAAAGTCTTATCGATAAACTAGATCGGGTGCAATCGGACTTGTCGAGTAGTTTATTAACAGGTGGGTTCAACAACGAAGGAAACAATATAGCGGTCATAACTGAGAACATGTCTGACAAAATAGCTACAACTATGTTGGATGTAGGTATCACGTCGCCTGAACCACCACTTTCGTCTAGTACCACGACGAAACCGTCTTTACCTGTCGTACAAATTCGGAAATTCTCACCATTCGCTAGACCCTCGACAACGTCTCGGCCTAAGAAAACGTACGAAACCTTCAGACAGGAAGATTTATCAGGCTTGTTGCCGCCTGGTTTCAAACCGAAATATCAAAACAGAAAAACCACCACCACACAGTCTTCTATTAATTTAGATATTCCACAAGGCGATGAACCCCCACGAGACGAAGTCAAAAATTCAACCACAGGACGCTCGTCGGGATTATCAAACAACACCAAAATAACTGTCCAGGACGTCACCGCTTTCCTCCCACCAGGTTACAAACCCGCTTCTAAAGAAAAAGACGACAGCTCGCGACTACTTGCAGAAATCCTAGGCAAAGTCAAACAACCTAAAGCCGACGAAACGCAAAACAAAACTCTCTTTGATATTATTAAAAACGACAACATTGCTGCATTTTTGCCACCTGGGTACAAACCATCTAGTACCACTCCAAAGACCGAAAACACCTCCATAGTTGACAAAGTTATAAGCAAAGCCAAACCAGACGATATTTCCGCGTTCCTTCCACCAGGCTACAAACCTCCTGAAGACTCAAACAAAAAAGATAAATCAGTGAAAGTCGCTAAACAGGATGACATTTCGTCGTTTTTGCCACCTGGTTACAAGTCTTTCAAAACGTCAACCACTGAGAAGACGAAATCAGTGGAGAGTTTATTAGCGAAAGCGAAACCCGTAGACGATATAAGCGCGTTACTGCCACCAGGTTTTAAACCCAGCGGCCCTCCCAAAACCAAAGGGGTGGATAACTTATTCGCTGAAGCGAAACCGCTGGATGTTAGTGCGTTCCTACCACCAGGGTATAAGGCCAGGACTACGCAGAAACCTTTGACGACGGTGGCAGAAAAAGTACCACCGAGTCTTCTACCGCCTGGGTTTAAGTTGAAAGACCTTCCAGCTGGTACTAGAGAGATAACCACTTCGAGTACCACTAGTACCACTTCCACTACAAGTAAACCGTCAGGCGGTGGTTTCAAAGTGGTGTTCCCTAGTCGACCGGGAGGAGGCACTAGAAAATCAGCTACCAGATTAACGACGCCGAAGGCGTCGAATCCCGAAGAACCTCAAGTAACACCGCCGTCGATCCAAAAAGGATGGCCATCCAGGTTTGTACTCTTCCCTTGTAATATAGTTATATTGGGGTTGTTTTTCCAGAGCTACGACTGAGTTCACGGGTTGGCCGACCCCATCAACCACACCGATTTCGATCGAGAAACTTTTAGAAGCCGCGAGAGCCGCGTCCACTAGTACCACAGCAACTGACACTACGACGAGTACCACGACGACTACGACCACCACAACGACGACAACCACGACACCTAAACCCACAACTCCGGGAGTGTGTGAAGGCGAGTGTGATTTAGCTGGTACCATCAAACTGATAGGTGGTGCCAAATGGGTTCCGGAGCTACTAGATCGGAATACCCAAGAGTGGCAAATTTTGGCAAACGAAGTGCAAGTGCAGGTAGAAAGCTAACATTTCACCGACTAGTTGTAATACGTTTGTTGCAGCTTGAGGACGTTTTCGGTCGTTCGAATATGCTGAACAAGTGGTACAAGAAGATTCGAATAGACGGGTTTAGCGAAGGGAGTGTTCTGGTTGATTATTTAGTGGAACTGAACGATCTAGGAAGACAAATCGATACGCTTGAAATTAAGAAACTCTTCCACGACTCGCTAGATGATGCTTTGAGCAATCCGGCATCCACTAGAGAGGCGAAGTCTTTGAACGAAACGACAAAAATCGAGGGGAAATTGAGCTTGGGACGGTTTATAGTTGATCCGAAGTACACCGACTTTGTTGGTACGTTGTTCGTAAGATAGAGCGTCTAGCAGAAGTTTTATTGTTTTTTCTTAGTACTGCCTAAGCAAGCCTACCCGACAGTGGGCTTCGCCGAAGACAACATCTTGTTACCACAATGGGCAATCGCTGTTATTGTAATCGGGCTAGCGTCTCTTCTTTTCGTCATCATCTTTGGAGTAACGGTGGTAAGTTTGGTCGTACTTTTGCTACTTAGTACTTCAGTGGAAATTTTGTAGCTGGTGAACCGCCAAAAGAATGCCAAGAAGAAGGCTCCGGTTCCTCTGACTGAAGACATGTTGAACGAATTGAACAAAAACCATATGGGTGGTTTTGACAACTACGGCGCTGATGACTTGTATAACATGGAGGATGTGTGGAACGACCGCGGGTTTGAACCCAAACTTGCCAAGAAGGTACTCACTGGGATGAGTTGTGGTTCGTGTTAACGCTGTGTTTGCAGAGATCCTCTGGTTCTATCCACGACAACAGCATGTCTAATTTGTACGACAGCTGGCGCTCCGAATGGAACGGGTTCTACTACAACACCTACTATGGCAACAACCCCGGAAGTAGCCACGGAGGCTACGGAAGACGCCGCTCCGATTACGACACAAACTTCTGAACTAACTCAATTGTTTCGACGAGATAAACTGCCAATTCCTTATCTGTACAGTAATCTTCCCCTTTCTCCTGCAGTCTATTCCTGCTCGTGCAACAGGGTTTCATTGTTTTTGCTCAATTCCGTTATTATTTCCGTCCTAGAATTTATTGTACAGATATCGAAAGCTTCTAGGTTGTTAGAAGCGTATATTTTTGCCAATTCGCTAGTGAAGGATGAATTTAAACGGCTGTATTACATTTACGAAGTAAGTGTGACCAGGTTTTTCTAGTCAAGCAGCCTGCTGGCAGTGGCTTTGACACTGTAGTTAATTGGCTGTGAATCACCTATCAAGACTTTAATACATCGATTCATGACGTAGCGATGCTTCGAACGCTGAGATTATGGAACGTTTTAGTGTTTTTTTTTTTATATAAATATATATAGGATATTGAATGTTGCTTTACTGTTGAAGCACTTTTTCGGAAAATTACGAAAACTGACCCCTTTTAGGGTGCTGTTTGTGCCATAACTTTTCACTCAAGGTGTTAATGAGTACTGGTTGTGTCGCAAACGGTGTCGTACTCATACGCTATTTCTACAGTCGCCATGGCAGTTTTTTTTAACACTAGAGAGTAAATTAAGTGCGCGTAGGTTTAACGTCGAATTTGGCGCGCTCGAAAAATCCAAAATGGCGACGTGGGAATGCCCATTGATGGTTGATGTAGAGAGCACACGTTTTCTCTCACCCCCATTATAACTAGGTGTATATAAATGTAAATACCATCAAGATGTTATGTCTATTTTCCCATTACATAGTTTTAACCATTAAAATATTTAAATTATTGTAAATGTAGATATTAAACTTGTATCTAAGGTGTTAATAAAAGCCACACCCTACTACTTTTTATTTTTTATTAACTTCAACTCTGGTATTTTCTTTTGTTTACCTATCACATTTTTACCCATGTATTTATGTAACACATCCGGAATAGCGATTGTCCCGTTTTTCTGTTGCCCACCTTCAACCAACGCTATCAACAACCTTGGAATTGCGCAAGCCGTACCATTTAAAGTATGCACAAAACCTACACTGTCGTTTTTGCTATACCTAACCCCCAAACGTCGCGATTGGTAATCTAAACAATTACTACAACTTGAAATCTCGCCATAGATCTGTCTACCAGCAAGCCAAGCCTCAATATCGTACTTCCTATAGGCCTGAGCCCCCAATTCGTGCGCAGGCATATCCAAAACCTTAAAATGTAGCCCCAAAGACCCAAAACAACCCTCCTGAATTTGTCTAATTTCTTCCAGTACATCATGAGACGCTTCAGGTGATGACACCACAAACATTTCCACTTTAGTAAATTCATGAACCCTATAAATCCCTCGTTCTTCAAGAAGGTTAGAAGTTTCAGCCCGGTAGCACCGACTCACAGCCGCCAATTTCAGTGGTAAACGGTCATGGGATAAAGTTTGATTAGAAAGATAACCAGCTAAAGCCATTTCTGAAGTCCCTGAGAGACATAGGTCGGGTCCATGCAACCGTTCGTCGAGCGTGTACACCTACAATCAAACTAAGTAACTGTTTGCAATAGTCAGAACACAAACCTGAGTCCGCGCCCCTCGGGTGTTCATTCCACAACCCTCAATAACCTCTCTGGGTAAAATATCAGGCACTGAAATCAACTCAAACTTGTTTTTAATTAAATCAGCGACTACGTAACGAACAAGGGCATGTTCAAGCTCCGCCAGTTCCCCCAACAAGTAGTAACTTTTATTTCCTGAAAGATTACCAAGTTGATCGGTGCGCACCAATTTTAGGCGTTTCGTGATTTCTTGAAACTCTTTCAAGTCAGTGTCGGGGTTTGGTTTATTACCAACTTCTTTCACGATTTTGGGGTCGTTGTTATACCCGGCGACCTCCGGATGAGTCCGGTTTGGGATTTTAAGCAACTCTGAATAAAGTTGCTTCTGGGTGGATTCGTACATTGTGTCTTGGGTATTCAACTGACTTAACTTTTGTTTCAATTCGTGGACTAGATTAATGTCGCCGACGCCCTTCCGAGCTGTAATATTGTCCGAAATTTCTTGTGCATTGTGGGGGTTGCATAAGTAGTCGGTGTCGAGTTCTGGACACTGGGTGATGTTCCAGAGAAGAGACCTAGATATGTGGAAGAATCTGCGGTGGAGGTGGCTGCCAGATTCGACGATTTTTCCTAGAATCATGTTATTGTTTTTGTGAAAGTGAGGTTATGTCAGAGGGATGGGGGAAGTGGTTCAAGTGACGCAAGATGTATTGCTGGTTGCCTGGGGTAAATCGACTATTAAAAAATATAATTATTCATGTTGTAACGAAAATACTAGTTTGTTTTTGATAATTTACTATACAAAGTTGTTAATAATTGATTTTTGATTATTTATTTTTTGTGTGTCTATCGTTACGTAATACACGAAATCGGAAAAATGCTGGTGTACACAATACGTAACCGGGGCAGCTGGTCGCTGACGTCACTTACATTGCCGTTGACGTTGGGTTTTCAACCAATCAAATTGCGGTGGTGCTCATACTTTGCCTTTTTTGCTTAATATGCATTCGATTTTTCCTTATACAAATTTTCCATTTTAAACATGTTTTACGTTTCATGTAATAAAAAATATAAGCCCGCCCACCCACCCTGTCTCAATTGTGATGTTTTTTCTTATTTGCCGTTTACCAAAGAGACGGAGCTTAACTGGAAATTACTTGTTTCTTTACAAGCAATTAAAAACATGTTTTTGATTATCGTGTTGTTCTAAGAATTTTATGTATATTAAGAAAAACAGGCCAAATATAAACCCCACCCACCCACCCCATCTCAATTGTAATTATTTTTTTATTCTTAGAATCTCAAAAAACGTTTAAAATGGTAAATTTTTCTAAAGAAATACGGATTTTGCAATTAGGCTCCGCCCCCTTGGCTCACGATGCATAAAAAAATCATCACAATTGCCAAAGGGCGGGTGGGCGGGGCTTATATTTTACCTCTTTTTCTTAACATGTATAGTCATGTATAGTCATGTTTTCACAACAAGAAACTTAAAAATGTTTATAATGGTAAATTTGTACGGGACAATATCGATTTTGAAATTACGCTCCGCCCCTCGGCCTGACAACGAATAAAAAATCATCAGAATTGGGATAGGGTGGGTGGGTGGGGCTCATATTTGTTTTTTTTTAGTATACATGGCCATCTTTTTACAATAAGAAACCTATAACGTGATTAAAATGGTACATTCTTGCATTGATATGTCTCCTTATACAAATTTTCCATTTTAAACATGTTTTAAGTTTCACGTTGTGAAATGAAGCCTACACAAGACCTATTAAAACAAAAAGTAAAATATAAGCCCGCCCACCCGCCCTGTCTCAATTGTGATGATTTTTTTATTCGTAGTTAACCAAGGGGCGGAGCTTAATTGGAAAATACTTGTTTCTTTACAGGAAATTTAAAACATTTAAACCGTCCCCATCTCAATTGTGATTATTTTTTTTTATTGTTAGAAACTTAAAACATGTTTAAAATGGTAAATTTTTGTAAAGAAATCTGAGAACTGAGATAGAGTGGGTGGGCGGAGCCCATATTTTCTTTTTTTTTAATATACATACCCAACTTTTTACAACAAGAAACTTAGAACATGGTTAAAATGGTACATTTTTGCATCGATATTTCCTTATACACATATTAAAACAAAAAGGCAAAATGTAAACCCGCCCACCCGCCCTGTCTCCATTGTGATGATTTTTTTTATTCGCCGTGAACCGAGGGGGCGGAGCTTAACTGGAAAATACTTGTTTCTTTACAAGAAATTAAAAACATGATTTTAATTTCTTGTAAAAAATGTGTGTTTCAAAGAATTCTATGTATATTAAGAAAAAAAGGGTAAAATATAAACCCCGCCCACCCACCCATCTCAATTGTGATGATTTTTTTTATTGTTAGAAACTTAAAACATGTTTAAAATGGTAAATTTTTGTAAGGAAATACGGATTTTGCAATTAGGCTCCGCCCCTCTTCGGCTTACGACGAATAAAAAAATCATCAGAATTGAGATAGGGTGGGTGGGCGGGGTTCATATTTTGCCTGTTTTTCTTAATATACGTAGCCATCTTTTTACAGCAAGAAACTTAGAACATGGTTAAAATGGTACATTTTTGCATCGATATCTCCTTATACAAATTTTCCATTTAAACATGTTTTTAGTTTCATGTTGTGAAAAGAAGTCTAACATTAAAACGAAAAGGCAAAATGTAAGCCTTCCCACCCACCCACCCAGTCTCCATTGTGATAATTTTTTTTATTCGCCTTGAACCAAGGGGGTGGAGCTTAACTGGAAAATACTTATTTCTTTACAAGAAATTAAAACATGCTTTTGAGTAACGGGTTATTCCAAGAATACTATGTATATTAAGAAAAAAAAAACGCAAAATATAAACCCCGCCCACCCACCCCATCTCAATTGTAATGATTTTCTTATTCTTAGAAACTTAAAAAACGTTTAAAACAATAAATTTTTCTAAGGACATACGGATTTTGCAATTAGGCTCCGCCCCCTTGGCTCACGATGCATAAAAAAATCATCACAATTGAGATAGGGCGGGTGGGCGGGGCATATATTTTACCTTTTTTTCTTAATATGTATAGTCATCTTTTCCCAACAAGAAACTTAAAACATTTTTAAAATGGTAAATTTGTATGGGGAAATATTGATTTTGAAATTACGCTCCGCCCCCTGGTCTGACAACGAATAAAAATTAATACATTTAGTTTTCTTTGTATAACATGATTACTTAAGGACGTAATTCGCATGTTAATTTCTCGTAGAACAATAAGGATTTTACAATTAAGCTCTGCCCCTCTTTAGCGACAAATAAAAAATCATCAGAATTGAGTGAGTTAGGGTAGGTGGGCGGGGCCCATAATTTCCTTTTTTTTTTAATATACATACCCAACTTTTTACAATAAGAAACTTAGAACATGGTTAAAATGGTACATTTTTGCATCGATATTTCCTTATACACATATTAAAACAAAAATGCAAAATGTAAACCCGCCCACCCGCCCTGTCTCCATTGTGATCATTTTTTTTATTCGCAGTGAACCAAGGGGGCGGAGCTTAACTGGAAAATACTTGTTTCTTTACAGGAAATTAAAAACATGTTTTTGAGTTTTGTGTTGTTCAAAGAGTACTGTCTATATTAAGAAAAAAACAAGGTAAAATATAAACCCCGCCCATCTCAATTGTAATGATTTTTTTTCTTCATAGAAACTTAAAAAACATTGAAAATGGTAAATTTTTGTAAGGAAATATGGATTTTGGAATTAGGCTCCGCCCCTAGGTCTGGCAACGAATGAAAACTTCATTACTCTTTAGATGAGGGGGACTTAATCTTTGGTTTAATTTTTCTTAATATACATAGTATTTTTTAAATAACACGATACTCAAAAACATGTTTTTAATTTCTCGTAGAGAAATAAGAATTTTGCAGTTAAGCTCCGCCCGTCTTGACTCACGACGAATAAAAAAATAATCACAATTGAGATAGGGTGGGTGGGCGGGGCCACGTTTTTTCTTGTTTTTTTCTTAACATGTGCAGACTTATTTCGACAACAAAAAACTTAAAAGAAGTCTAAAAGGGTAAATTTTTGTAGTAATCAACTTAAATTTGTAAGTTTATAAACGACAGTTTGGAACTTCAACGTGATTAGCAAGTTTATTCCCACTATATTTACATCTTGAAACAAAAACAAAAATTTCGAATTAGAAACATATTATATACATATATGAGAAAAAATTAGAGTTCGTCTTTCATGTCTGCAACCAATTTTTCGTTTTCTTTGAACGGTAACGACTTCCAGAAATCTATTGTTGATACTGCGACGCGTTCCATTGATATTTTTTTCGGTGAATCAATTTTCAAAGCAAAAATGTCGTCTTCTGGATCTTTGGAAATGGGTTTCCACTCAACGGGAGCCTTCGGTACTCTAGAAAAATCAAAATAATTATTAATTTTATTTTCGAAAATGTCTGCATTTACGCACCCAGTACTCGCAAAAGACGTCATCATCTCCACGAAGAATTTAATCATCAATCTATCTTCTTCGGTAGTCGCTGTGTCCGCTGTAGGCGTCGATACAAGATAAGCAGTATCTTCAGCATGAGAAGCCCCGAAGTCTTTTCTTCTCTCAGCGATGGTTTCGTACCACGCGTGTGCCCCACAGTACGTGAAAAGATAGAAGTAGATGGGGGAAGAAACAACACTCGCTTGGAGTTTGGCAGTTTTCTGTATATCCAAATCGAACAATCGATGGGATAAAATATGGGTAAAATCAACGAAACTGTCTTTGTCGACTTTCCTCTCCCCCAAGTACTGCTTTCTGATCTTTTGACTAACGTCATCGCGAAGTTTGGCATCTACTGTATAGTTGTAGTCTAGAATGAAAGGTAGAAGCTCATTCCAACGAGTATCAATCTGTTGTAGATGTCGATCTTGCAAAAAATCTGTAAGAAAACGTGAAGTACCACTGAAGCGTTAAGTCGTTTCACAAACCTGAAGAAGGATAAAGTCCTTCGAAATCGGTTTGCGACACAATCCACGGTATATCGTTCACTTTTCCACTTTTGATTAAGTTGTAAGGGTGGTCCGGTAACACCGGATCCGATGACCAACTATCCACCACGACCCCAAACGGCGAAAACGGATTATACAACCAGGGTAGAAACTCCTTCACTGACGCTACAACTTGTCGACCCGATCTTTTTCTCAAACATTCCACCATATGGTCAACCTTTTTGGCCCCACACCCAAGACTGGCAGCAAGTTTTTTAGTTTTCTGGAGCGGCTGTTCCATTAAAACCCACGGGTTTAGCGCGGTACCACTCTGAGACATCGCTCTATGAAAAAGCCCTCTCGATTTGGGGCTGAGGTAGTGAATGTGAGTACTAGCACCCCCTGCCGACATTCCAAAAACGGTAATCGAATCGGGATTGCCACCGAAGTACTTCACGTTGTCTTTGATAAAAGTTAAAGCCACAATTTGGTCTCGAATTCCGTTATTGCCAGGTACTACGTCGTCTTCGGTACTTAGGAAACCTAGAGGTCCGAGGCGATAGTTTAGGTTGACGAAGACGACGTTCTTGTCGAGGAGGAAATGGGGGCCGTAGAAACCTCCGTAGAGGAACATGAAGGCACCTCCATGGATGTAAATAATGACGTCGAGGTTGGCGTTTTGGTCTAACGTTGGGGTGTAGATGTTGATGTAGAGGCAGTCTTCGTCGCCTGTCACTGGGTCGTGTCCTGGTAGCGCGTACTGGTCGTACTGCATACACTTGTAGATGGTTTTAGCCATCAAAGTACCTTTCCATGGTTTTCGGGGAACGGGTTTCTAGGTAAAATCATAATTTATAATGTAAGTTGATTGGTGATAGTACTGACTTTAAATCTGCGGTCCCCGACAGGTGGTTGCGCGTAGGGTACTCCTTCAAACGCGTAGAAACTTCTCCCATTTAAACTGTTGTCGAATTTTCCTTGGATTTCACCCAAGTTGGGTATAGTTACTTTTGGTACTTCATTTGCATTCGCTACATCTGTAACTCAGAATTTCAATTAGCTGAAAGTACCGATAAATATATTACATAATATCAGGAAAAATATAAGGAGACTCATCTTCAGATCGTTCTAACAAGTACTATTTAGTTAAATGAAGTGAAAAATTCTTATCTTAATCACGAATTGTCACGAAAGTTGTATCAAAGATCAAGTTTGTATTGTACAATATTTGTATAACTAATTATAAACCATGTGATAATAAATCGTTTATTGTTGTTAATAACAGTTTTACTTAAAAACGGTTACAATTCATCTTTGGCATGTCGAGCTACCAATTTTTCGTTTTCAATAATGGGCAACGAATCCCAAAATTCCATATTTTCCGAAACTCCGTACCCCACGGACAGTTTTTGTGGCGAGTCGATTTGTAAATAAACGAACGGATCTTTAACGTCTTTGGAAACGGGTGGCCACTCTACAGGTACTCCTGGTTTCCTAAAACAAAACAAAAAATCATAATAATCGTTCCCTTGTACGAAAATTATCAGTACCCTTCTTTAGCAAATGACGTAACCAACTTGGTGAACAATTTTATCATATCTCTGTCTTCCTCGGTCGTTGTAGTATCCACAGCTTCGACCTTTAACGCATAAACCGTGTCGTCTCCATGCGAGGCCCCAAAATCTTCGGTCGTACCGCCTCTGTACTCAGACCAGCTATGGGCACCTCGGTACGTAAAGTAGTACGAATAAACAGGCGATTTAGTAACGGAAGCTTGTAACAGTGCCGTCTTCTGTATACCAATAACAAAAATTCGGTCCGATACCACCGGTATAAAATCTTTGAAAGTAGATCTAGAAACTTTGACGTCTTTCAGGTAGTGCTTGCGAATATCCTGACTCACTTGGTCGTGCAATTTTAGATCTACAGTGTAATTGTAGTCTAAAATGAACGGAAGAAGCTCGTTCCATCTAGTTTCAACATCTTCCAGGTACTGCTCATCTATGTAGAAATCAGCTGCCGGATAAAGTCCTTCGGAACTCGTGTAGGAAGCAATCCAAGGCACGTCGTATACTTGTTTATCTTTGATTATAGTATAAGGGTGTGCTGGTAGTACCGGATCGGGCGACCACGGATCCACTACAAGCCCGAACGGCGAAAACGGTGTGTACAACCAGGGTTGGAAAGTTTTGACCGAAGCGACGATCTGGCGAGCTGGGCGTTTTTTCAAACATGCGATCATTTTTGTCGTGTCTTTGGAACGACAACCCACATTTGTGGCCAACTTTTTAGCTTTCTGAAGCGGTTGTTCTTGTAGTACCCAGGGGTCTAGAGTGGTACCGCTTTGCGAGATTCCTCTATGGAATAAACCGCGAGATTTCGGGGAGAGGTAGTGGAAATGGACACTAGCACCACCTGCTGACATTCCCATAATAGTCACGGAGTCGGGGTTGCCACCGAAGTACTTCACGTGTTGTTTTATAAACTCTAAGGCAAAGATTTGGTCTTTGGCGCCGTTGTTACCGGGAACCACCGGGTCTTCCGTGCTTAAGAAACCTAGAAAGATTAGGTTAGAGAAGCAAATTGAGAAAAGTGTGTACCTAGAGGTCCTAGACGATAGTTTAGATTGACGAAGACCACGTTTTCGTCTAGGAGGTAGTCGGGTCCGTGCAGACCGCCCCAGTTGAACATGAACGCTCCACCGTGGATGTACACTACAACGTCTAGGTTTGCATTTTTGTCCAGGTTGGGGGTGTAAATGTTCAAATATAGACAGTCTTCGTCACCTAAAGAGGAACTGTGAAAGTCAAAATGGTTGGAAATTTGTGGTCGTACCGATGACATAGTCTTGCCCAGGTGGTGTGTACTGGTTATATTGTATACATTTGTAAATGGTTTTGGCCTCCCAGGTTCCCACCCATGGTGTTACAGGTGACGGCGGCTGCGAATTCGTTAGGTCAAAAAATAAACAAAGTTGTTACCTACCTCGAATCTGTGGTCTCCTATTGGTGGTCGAGCATATGGTACGCCTTCAAAAGAATAAAATGTTCGCCGGTTTAGAGATTTCCCAAAACCGCCTTTAATTTTGCCCAAATTGGGTAATTCAACGACTGGAGGGTTGTCAAGAGTAGCGAATGCTAAAACTTGCAATAGAAATAGTAGTACTAGTAAGTACTCCATGTCACAAGTACTCTCTAAAAATATTACTTTTGCAATAAACAAATGCATTTATTGGATACAATAAATAAGTGACTTTCTTATCTAAAATTTTTTTGTTGACAAGCTAAAGAAAAAACATGTTTGGAATTTTGTATCTGAATCAAACCTTGACCTTATGTTTCTTCCACCGATATAAACAACTTTTCGTTTTCTTCGATCGGTAGCGACATCCAGAATTCCTGATTTTTGAGAACGTCTTGCTCAATTGACAGATTTTCAAAAGATTCGATTTTCAAACACGTGAATGGGTTTTCTTGATTTTTCGAAAGTGGTACCCACTCTATCGGTACCTTCGGTTTGCTAAAAACCAAACTAGATACAAGTACCAGTACTTTATTGTTTTACCTGGTTTGTGCGTAGGAAGTCAGCAAATCCACAAACAAATTGATCATTTTTCTATCACTTTGAGTGGTCGTTGTGTCCAGCGCTTTTAATTTGAAAATATAGGGTAAATCGTCGCCATGTGCGGCCCCAAAGTCGTCACCATCTTCTGATTTATACACAAACCAACTGTATTTACCTCTGTATGCAAAGTTATAACTATACACAGGTGAAGATATAGCAGAAGCATGTAAACGAGCTGCTTTTTGAATATCGTTGACGAAAAGTCGTTCTGATAATATAGGTACGAAATCCCTGAAGGTGGATTTTGAAAGTTTCTTCGTACCTAGATAATGTCTGCGAATTTTTTGACTAACTTCGTCTTTTAAGTGACTTTTGACGGTATGGTTGTAGTCCAGAATTAGTGGAACTAACTCATTCCAGCGATTGTCAACCTCTTCTAAATGGTTGTCGTAAAACTCTTCAGCAGGGTACAGACCTTCACAGTTCGTAAACGACGCAATCCATGGTACATCATACACTTGTTTGTTTTTCAACAAGTTGTAGGGATGGTCTGGTAGTACCGGGTCTGACGACCAACTATCCACCACTATTCCGAATGGAGAAAACGGGATGTAGAGCCAAGGTTGGAAAATTTGGACCGTGGAAACAATCTGACGACCTGATCGTGTTTTCAAGCAGTTGATAATTTCCACCATGCTTTGGTTATAACAACCGATGGCAGTTGCTAGCTGTTTCGTTTTTTCCAACGGTTTTTCCATTAGAGCCCATGGTACTAGAGTGGTGCCGCTCAAGGAGTACCCTCTTTGGAACAACCCGCGGGACTTTGGGGAAAGAAGGTGGAAATGGACACTCACACCGCCTGCCGAATTTCCACTAACTGTAATAGAATTCGGGTTACCTCCAAAGTACTTCACGTAGCTTTTGATAAAGTTCAAGGCGAGAATCTGATCTTTCATGCCATTGTTACCAGGAACGACATCGTCTTCAGTACTTAAAAAACCTAACGGACCCAATCGGTAATTTAAAGTCACAAAAACCACGTCTCTGTCTAAGAGATAGTCAGGGCGGTACAAACCACCCGTGTTGAACATGAAAGACCCTCCATGGATGTAGACGATTACATCTAGGGTTGCATTTGGGTTCAAATTTGGTGTGTAGATGTTTAAGTATAGACAGTCTTCATCGCCTAGAGAGAAGTACCTAAGATAAAGAATCGTGTGTTTTGGTACTTTACCAACTACGTAGTCTTGTCCAGGAGGAGTGTACTGGTTGTACTGCATACACCTATACAGGGTGTTGGCTTCTATAGTTCCCGTCCATGCTTTCACAGGAGATGGTTCCTGTCATATAGTACTTAATTCTAAACAAGTTTGTTTAAAATACTCGGTACTCACTTTAAATCTATGTTCAGCAATAGGAGGTCGTGCGTATGGTACTCCTTCGAACGAATATATAGTGCGTCCACTCAAACTTTGGGCATGTCGACCCCGAACGTCCCCCAAATTTGGTAAAAGTACGGAAGGATTAGGTTTTACGAACCCTAGTATACAGAGTAGTAAAAACGAAGCAAACATTTTGACTGTTGCCATTTTCATTGGAACGACGAGGTGAAAGGTTATCTATTGCGTAGACAAGAGTTACAAAATTGACTTTATTATTAAAATCACACGTAGTTGTTACATTTTGAAATAGTACTATACAATTACAGTTCGTCTTTTAGCCCAGGGTACAACTTCTCGTTTTCTTTAATAGGTAAAGTATCCCAGAAGGTCGTACCTTTCGAGGTTAGATTTTCAATTTTTAGATTATCAGGTGAACTAATTTTCAGGTACGTCAGTTGGTTCTGGGTGTTTTTGGCCAACGGCTGCCACTCAATCGGAACATTTGGTCTCCTACAAAAGTCACTATATAACCAGTTAACATTTTTTTTTTCAAATATACCCAGTTGTGGCAAACGATGCAACCACTTCTGTTAATAATTCAACCATAAGTACGTCTTCTTTGGTACTAGTCGTGTCCACAGGGGTTTTAAAAATGTAACATGTGTCATCACCGTGGGAGGCACCTAAAATCCATCATTACACATACGAGTCATTAAAATCGATAAGTAGTACCAAGATCGTCGTCAGTACCAGACCGACCTTCCGACTTGCTATGAGCTCCGCGATACGTAAAGTAATAAAAATAAATAGGCGAAGTTGTAGCTGCGTTTTGTAAAAGAACAGCTTTTTCAATATCCACAGCGAAAATCCGGTCGGTTAGAATTTTAACAAAGTCCAAAAAGCTTTCTCTGTTCACTTGTTTGTCTTTGAGGTAGTACCGACGAATCTTTTGACTAACCAGATCGCGCAACTCGGGATCGACAGTGTTGTTATAGTCCAAAATAAACGGAACTATGTCGTTCCATTTTTCATCAATATCACGCAGGTACTTATCATCGGAGTAGAAATCTGACGCTGGGTACAACCCTTCCGAGTTCGTATACGACGTAATCCATGGTAAATCAGCAACTTTTTTGTTTTTGAGTAGGTTGTAGGGGTGATCGGGGAGAACTGGGTCGGGTGACCACGAATCCACAACCACACCAAAGGGAGAAAACGGGTTGTACAACCAGGGTTGGAACTCTGTGACGGCTGCCACGATCTGGCGACCTGGTCTTCGTTTCAAACACTCAATCATTTGTTTGGTGTCTTTCGTGCTACACCCAAGAGTTGATGCAAGTTTTTGGGTTTTTTCCAAAGGTTTCTCGACGAGGACCCAGGGGTTGAGCATGGTACCACTTTGGGAGATCCCGCGGTGGAACAACCCGCGCGATTTCGGGGAAAGGTAGTGGAAATGGATACTTGCTCCGCCCGCTGACATACCAAAGATGGTAATGGAGTTGGGGTTTCCGCCGAAGTACTTCACGTTGTCTTGGACCCATTGTAGTGCGAGAAGTTGGTCTTTCAGACCGTTGTTGCCAGGAACGACTTCGTTTTCGGTGCTTAGGAAACCTGGAACGTGGGTTTAGTGGGTGCTTGATGATGGTGGTACTAACCTAAGGGTCCGAGTCGGTAGTTTAGGTTTAGGTAGACTAGGTTGTGGTCTAGGAGGTAATCGGGTTGGTATATGCCGCCCCAGTTGAACATAAAAGCGCCTCCATGGATGTACACGATGACATCTAGGTTTGCGTTTGGGTCCAAGTTTGGAGAGTAAATGTTAAGATAAAGGCAATCTTCGTCCCCTAAAACTAGAGTTTAGTTTTTGTTATTTGAAAACAGACGATTTACCTATTACGGATGGGTTTTCTGGGGGTGGGTAGTGAAAGATTTGCATACATTGGTAGATGGTTTTTGCTTGCCAGACCCCTTGCCAGGGTTTAACTGGTGACGGTTCCTTCAATTATTGATTGTTAGATTTAAAATTTATTAGTAGTTTTAGCTTACTCTGAACCGGTACTTTCCTACAGGTGGTCGTGCGTAAGGTACTCCTTCAAACGAGTAAATGGTTTGTCCTTGAAACGTGACTTTGTGTGTACCTTCGATTGTCCCAACTCCGGGAATGTTTACGGTAGGAGGGACATTGGTACCAAATGCCACTGAAATTGGTGTTTGTTAAAAAAAAAGGTGATTGAAGTGACGACTCACGTTGTAAAATTAGGGTCAAGTACAAGAACGACTTCATTTCAGCGGTTTGTTGGAACGTAGCACTTAAGGTCAAGTTTTTATCTAATGGTTTTCTTTAGCGCAGTTAAATGATAATGACAAGGCTGTTTATATTTGTGTCTATTTTTAAACATATTTTTAAAAGAGCTAAAGAATGGAAGGGATTTTATAAACACACACAGAGTGTTTATTTAGAGTTTATTGTAGTTTTTTAATCGTGTGTAGATTTTTCTGTCGTGGTTTATTTTTGTTATTACAAATTCGTTGCTAACAAAGTCGCCAAAAATTACAGTTCATCTTTAGCAAAAGTCCTAATAGGTACTACTTCAATTTCAGCAAAAACCCTTTCGAAAAGTAAGCAGTTTGCCTGTACGTTTGCATTTGAGTATTACTGGTTGCCTAAACGCCTGAAATTAAGTTCAACTTCAAATTCTTATTTTTATGTTTTCAAAAAAACATTTTCTAAAAGAACTGAAGAATAGGAGGTTTTCTAAATAAATACACAGCGAATGTTTATTTCAGTTTTATTATAATTTCATTTTGGGGATACTTACTACAACACATTTATGTACATTTTTTGTCATGGTTGATTTTTCGTGTTTATTAAAAAAATATGCATTTAGTACATAACAAAATGCTACCACAATATAGTTTAATAGCTTAATATAGTTTAACTAAATCAGAATTTTTCGAGAACGGAACATACTAGACTACTATACCTATTATACGTATTATTATTGTGATTTAGTTATGAATTTATCGACTTTCTAACCATGTCTACAAGCACAAATACTCATAAAAGCTAGTAGCTGCCAAAGTCAGTTTTATCTTAGCAGATACTAGCCCCGCCCACCCACCCTCTCGTTTCTTGGAAGGTACTTCATTTGCCAAAGTCAGTCTTATCCTACCTAGTAGCTGCTAAAATAAAACTGATTTTGGCAAATGACATACCCTCTACGAAACGAGAGGGTGGTGCTAAAATAAGACGCTGATATTAGTAGGTACTAGCCCCGCCCATCCGCCCTCTATTTTATTAGAGAGATCTCATTTGCCAAAATTACTCTTATCTCAGCAGCTACTTCCACTTTGTATGGATTTTTAAATGTTTTTAGTGACAAATTTTTGTATTTATTTTCGATACATCAAAAGTTAAAATGATCGAAAATTTGAAATGCGGAAACCTAAAACCGGAAAATTGAAAAATCGAAACATCAAAAAATTGAAAAAAAAAACACGAAAATTCGACTTTTCAGTTTTTTTATTACTCGATGTTTCAGTTTTTTAATTTTTGGATGTTTGGATGTTTTGATTCCTGGCTTTTTCGATTTTTCCACTTTACGACTTTTCAATTATTAGATTTTTCGATTTTTCAGTTCTTCAGTTTTTTGATTTCCCAATTTTTCGTCATTTGCGTTTTGGAATTTTTCAATTTATCAATTGTTTAGTTTTTGACTCCTCAATTTTTCAATTTTTTAAATTTTTGATTTTTTAAATTTTGAATTTTTCGATTTCTCGATTTTTCGGTTTTTGATTTTCCAGTTTTTCGATTGTTCAATTTTTCGATATTTACACTTTTCGATTTTTCGATTTCTTAATTTCTCGATTTTTCAATTTTCTTTGTATTTTAATTTTTCAATTTTTTTAAATTTGAGGTTGTTCGATTTTTCGATTTCACAGCTTTTGATTTTTCGGTTTTCCAATTTTTCGAAAAATTGAAGTCAGATAATTAAAAAATCGAAACATTGAAAAGTTAAAAATTGAAAAATTGAGAAATTGAAAGATGAAAAGATCGAGAAATCGAAAACTCATGAAGTCGAAAAATCGAGAAGTGAAAAATCGAAAAGTCAATATCATTTTTTCAATCGAAATATTTAAAAATTCCAAAACCGAAATATCGAAAAACTGAAAAATGAAAGAGACTGAATAATGAAAAAACCGAAAAATACTAAAACTGAAATATCCAATAGACGAGAATCTAAAAAACTGAAAAACTGGGAAATCGAAAAATCAAAAAAGTGAAGTCGAAAAATCGAAACCTTAAAAAAATCGAATTATTGAAAAATCAAAAACCTGCAAACTCGAAAAATTGAAGAACTGGAAAATCGAAAGAGTCAAAAGTCAAGAAATCAATCAAAACATAAATTACTTGAAAAATAAAAAAACTGAGAATTTAGAAAATTCGAAAATTGAAAAAAAAAAATTGAAATATTTAAAAATCGTAAAATTGAAGAGAAAAAAAACTGAAAAAACGTCAAATTATGAGAAAAAATAAAAAATGATTAAATCCAAACTGAAAAACTAAAGAAAATGAAAGAACCAAAAACTGTGATATCAAGGCAATGTCAAATCGAAGGAAAAGGAAAAACGAAAAATTGTGATATCAAAAAAGTGGTCGAAGGAAAAGAAATCCAGCTTTTTCGAAAAATTATTTGATTTTTCGATTTTTTGACTCCTCAATTTTTCAATTTTTCAAATTCTCCATTTTTTAAATTTTGAATTTTTCGATTTCTCGATTTTTCGGTTTTTTGATTTTCCAGTTTTTAGATTCTTCGATTTTTATAAATTTGTCAATTTTTCGATATTTGTACTTTTCGATTTTTCAATTTTTTGTTTTTTCGAATTCTGGCTTTTGTGCTTTTTCGATTTTTTAGATTTTTCAATTTCTCGATTTTTCAATGTTTCAAGTATCCAATCAATTCTTTATATTTTGATTTTTCAATTTTTTTAAATTTTAGATTGTTCGATTTTTCGATTTCAGAGCTTTTGATTTTTCGGTTTTCCAATTTTTCGAAAAATTGAAGTCAGATAATTGAAAAATCGAAACATCGAAAAGTTAAAAATTGAAAAATTGAGAAATTGAAAGATGAAAAGATCGAGAAATCGAAAACTCATGAAGTCGAAAAATCGAGAAGTGAAAAATCGAAAAGTCAATATCACTTTTTCAATCGAAATATTTAAAAATTCCAAAACCGAAATATCGAAAAACTGAAAAATGAAAGAAAAACTGAAAAATCCCAAAACTGAAATCCAATAGCTGAGAATCTAAAAAATTGAAAAAGTGGGAAATCGAAGAATCAAAAAAGTGAAGTCGAAAAATCGAAAAATTGAAAAATCAAAAACCTGCAAAATCGAAAAATTGAAGAATTGAAGATCTGGAAAATTGAAACATTGAAATATTTAAAAATCGTAAAATTCAAGAGGAGGAAAACTGAAAAAACGTCAAACTGAAACATCGGAAATTATGAGAAAAAAAATTAAAAATTATGAAATCCAAACTGAAAAACTAAAGAAAATAAAAAAGGCAAAAAAAGGAAAAACGAAAAATTTTGATATCAAAAAAAGTGGTCGAAGGTAAAGAAATCCAGCTTTTTCGAAAAATTATTTGATTTTTCGATTTTTCAGTTCTTCAATTTTTCGATTTCCCAATTTTGCGGTCATTTCAGTTTTGGAAAATTTCAATTTATCAATTTTTTAGTTTTTTGACTCCTCAATTTTTCAATTTTTCAAATTCTCGATTTTTTAAATTTTTAATTTTTCGATTTCTCGATTTTTCGGTTTTTTGATTTTCCAGTTTTTAGATTCTTCGATTTTTATAAATTTGCCAATTTTTCGATATTTGTACTTTTCGAGTTTTCAATTTTTTGTTTTTTCGAATTCTGGATTTTGTGCTTTTTCAATTTTTTCGATTTTTCAATTTCTCGATTTTTCAATTTTTCAAGTACCTATCCAATTTTCTTTATATTTTAATTTTTCAATTTTTTAAATTTTAGATTTTTCGATTTGGAATCTTTTGATTTTTTGACTTCACAGCTTATGATTTTTCGGTTTCCCGAATTTTCGATTTTTAAAAATTTTTGAATTTTCAATTTTGCGCTTTTTCTATATATTGATTTGTTTTAGTTTTCAATTTTCACTTTTTTAATTTTTAACTTTTGGATTTTTCGATTTTGTGGTACATATTTCTGTTCTTGGATATTTTTCGACTTCTCCAATTTTCAATTTCTCGATTTCTCGACGTTTAAGTTTTTGAATGTTTCGATTGTTTGATTACTCGCTTATTTCGATTTATCGATTTTCGGCTTCAAAAATTTTCAAAATCAAAAAATTTTAAAACCGAAAAACGAAAAATGAAAAAATCGAAACATCGAAAAGTTAAAAATTGAAATAAGCTGAGAATCTAAAAAATTGAAAAACTGGTTAATCGAAAAATGAAAAAAGTGAAGGCAAAAAATCCAAACCTTAAAAAATCGAAAAATTGAAGAACTGAAGAACTGGAAAATCGAAACAGTCGAAATTCAAGAAATCAATCAAAACATCGATGACTTGAAAAATCGAGAGATTGAGAATTTAGGAAAGTCAAAAATTATGAAATCCAAACTGAAAAACTAAAAGGCAATGTGAAATCGAAGATAAAGGAAAAACGAAAAATTATTTGATTTTTCGATTTTCCAGTTCTTCAGTTTTTCGATTTCCCAATTTTGCGGTCATTTCAGTTTTGGAATTTTTCAATTTAACAATTTTTTAGGTTTTTGGTTTTCCAGTTGTTAGATTCTTCAATTTTTCGATATTCGCAATTTTCGATTTTTCGATTTTTCAATTTTTTGTTTCCTCGAATTCTGGATTTTGTGCTTTTTCAAGTATTCAATTTTCTTTTTAGTTTAATTTTTCGAATTTCAAATTTTTCGATTTTTCGATTTGGAATCTTTCGATTTTTCATCAATTTTTTGGACTACGATAATCTTAAAACGAAAATGTAAATCAATGTAATTTTTTTTTTTCAAAATGTGGATTTTGTGGTAAAAACTGAACGTGTTTTTTTTGTCATGGTTGCATTTGGTACGTAGCAAATTAATTCGTAATAAAATCGTAAAACATTTACAAAATGTAATAACGTGAAAAATATTCCAAATTACAGCTCATCTTTAGCAGAAATCAGATTTTCGCCCTCCATGAAGTTCAGAGATTTCCAAAAGCTTCTACTAGTCATTAGTTCGTCGGTCGTTTTAAGCTGAATTTCGTCAGGTTCGAACCCATTTACTTCAAGATATGTCAGCCCGTTATAACCCGTGGGTTTCAAGTCTACACCACCCAAAGTAGGTTTCCT